GGGTAGGACCTCCTCCCTGACCTGGAGAGGGCACTCTATCCTTTTCCGGCTCAAGACCTTGGCCTCGGATTTGGAGGAACTGATCTTCATCCTGGCCGCATGGCATTCGGCTGCGAACCGCTCCAGCGAAAGCTGTAGATCATGATCTGATGAAGCCAATAGGACCACATCATCTGCAAAAAGCAGAGACGCAATCCTAAGGCCACCAAAACAGATCCCCTCAACACCTTGGCTGCGCCTAGAAATTCTGTCCATAAAAGTTATGAACAGAATTGTGACAAAGGGCAACCTTGGCGGAGTCCAACTCTCACCGGGAACAAGCCTGACTTACTGCCGGCGATGCAGACCAGACTCTTAACACCGGTCATACAGGGACGTAACAGCCCGTATCAAAGGGCCCGGTACCCCATACTCCCAGAGTACCCCCCACATGGTTCCCTGAAGGACGCGGTCGAACGCCTTCTCCAAGTCCAAAAAGCACATGTAGACCGGTTGGGCAAACTCCCACGCACCCTCCAGGACCCTGCTGAGAGTGTAGAGCTGGTCCAGTGTTCCACGGCCAGGACGAAAACCACACTGCTCCTCCTGAATCCGAGGTTCGACTATCCGACTGACCCTCCTCTCCAGAACCCCCGAGTAGACCTTACCAGGGAGGCTTAAGAGCGTGATTCCCCTGTAGTTGGAACACACTTTAAGGTCCCCCTTTTTGAATGGGGGACCACCACCCCGGTCTGCCAATCCAGGGGAACTTCCCCCGATGTCCACACAAGCCAACACAACCCTACAAAATCCAGAGCCTTAAGGAACTCCGGGCGAATCTCATCCACCCCTGGGGTTTCTTTTCACAAAGATGGCCTCCTTTACTCCTCTCTCAAACCATCGTTCCTCTCTGTCCAGGATGTGAACATCTTCATCCCTGAAAGAGTGACCGCTGGCCTGGAGATGAGTGTAGACTGCAGAATCCTGGCCTGATGATGTTGATCTTCTGTGCTGGGCCATCCTTTTGGCCAGTGGCTGTTTAGTTTCCTCAATGTAAGACTGATCACAGCCCTCCTGACACTGAACAGCATATACAATATTACTCTGTTTGTGCCGGGGGACTGGATCTTTGGAATGAACCAGTCTTTGCCGTAATGTATTTTGGTGTTTAAAAGCCACTCGGACGTTATGTTTAGAAAATAAATGTCTCAGTTTCTCTGATACTCCCTCAACATACGGAATGACCACTGGTCTGGGTCTGGGTTTCTCCTTTTCACCTGATGGCTGACTGGAGTCCTGTTTGGGTTTCTTCTCTGCTTTCAGGAAGACCCAGTTAGGATATCCACATTGCTCTAGAGCCTGTTTTGTGTGGGATTTCTCCTTCTGCCTGGCTCCTGAGCTAGTGGGGACGCTGTCTGCTCTGTGATACAGAGTCCTGATGACTCCTAACTTGTGCTCCAAAGGGTGATGGGAGTCAAACTGCAAATACTGGTCTGTGTGGGTGGGTTTGCGGTACACCTCGGTTTGCAAATGTCCTCTATCAGAGACTGAGACCTCACAGTCCAAGAAAGCCAACTTGCCATTTTTTACATCTTCTCGTGTGAACTTGATGTATTTATCTACAGAGTTGATGTGGTCAGTAAAATGTTGGACTTCCTGAGATTTAATTTTAACCCAGGTGTCGTCAACATACCTGAACCAATGTCTTGGTGGTGTCCCTGAAAAGGACGTCAAGGCTCTCTTTTCTACCTCCTCCATGTACAGGTTGGCAACAATAGGAGAAACTGGAGACCCCATAGCACACCCATGTTTCTGCCTATAATATTGCTCCCCATATGTGAAGTAGGTTGACTGCAGGCACAGTTTCAAGAGTTGACACAGTTGTTCTGTGGAAAGCGTGGTCCTGCTGCTCAGAGTGGTGTCTGATTTTAATTTTAAACTGACCACCTCTACTGCATCATCAACAGGAATGCACGTAAATAGTGATGTGACATCAAAAGAGACCATTGTTTCATCAGTCTCCATGATGACATCCCTCACCTTGTCCACAAAGTCCATGGTGTTCTGTATGTGGTGTTCTGAGCTGCCAACTAAAGGGATGAGTACAGACGCCAGATATTTGGAAACATTGTAAGTGACAGAGTTAATCATGCTAACAATTGGTCTTAAAGGTACACCTTGTTTATGGATTTTAGGTAAACCATACAGACTAGGTGTGGCTTCCCCTGGGTACAGTCTGTGGTACAGAATACGGTCAATAGCCTTGTCTTGCTCCAAATTTTTCAGGCAATCTATTAACTTCTTCTTGTAACCACTTCCTGGATCTCTTTCCAGAGGTTCATAAGTGGTTAAGTCACTAAGGATTGTCATAACTTTCTTGTGATAGTCTTTCTGGTTCAAAATCACTGTGCGCCTTCCTTTGTCTGCTGGGAGAATGATGATGTTTTTGTCCTTGCTAAGAGTGGTGAGTGCATCCCTCTCCTCTCTACTGATGTTGGAAGGTGGTGGTTTGGCATTGCTGAGGCAGGATGAAACTTTGATTCTGAGCTGTTCTGCTTCACCCTCTTTCATTTTGTTGTTGCGGATGGCTGATTCTGTGGCTGTGATCATCTCCACCAGAGGAATTCTCCTTGGTGCAACCGCAAAGTTCAGTCCCCTGGCAAGAATCTCTGTCTCAGGCTGGGTGAGCTGTCTGTCAAATAAATTCTTCACCCACTTTTCTGTCTCCCTGGCATGTAATTGACTACTGGAGTGTTGTCTTACACTGAATGTGTTGTTATTGGAATAGTGATGGTGTTGATGAGTTATTAGTAAGTTAAACTTGTTTTGTTGTCGAGTCTTGGACTTGACATGCTGTGCTAAGCGTGCCTGATCAGTACAGTCCAACACTTGCTGAAGTGTGGTCTGATCTTACAGCACCTCAGACTGAGGAAGTCTCTCGGATGAGAGACGAAACGTTTCTACATTTTTTTTTTGCTTTGTTTTGTTTTTTGTCTTTTTTGTTTTCTTGTTTTTTGAATGTCCAGAGGACCAGATTGAACTTTTTTGGATACTTCTTTGATAACAAAATAGATTGTATAGGATGTTTTTGATTACATTAAAGATCATAATAACATTTGATTGTTTCAACACCTTGACAGACAGACATAAAATCTTTATTTTAATCAACACACCCAGAAAACTTTTTTATTCAACATTCATTAACTTTTAGGATTGCTTTCTTCAAATGTCCACCTCCACCAGACATGGTCAATCTGACCTCAAAACCTTTTTCATCCACCTAACTTGACACTCCCTCCCATTCACACACATGTATTCTGTCTTACTATGCCTTTCATTCTTCTTCCTTCCAAGTGCATACCTCCATCTTTCTAAGTTCTCTTCCGCCTTTTCCCTGTTCTCACCACAAATCACAATGTCATCTGCAAACATTGTAGTCCATGGGGATTCCTGCCTGACCTCATCTGTTAGTCAGTCCATCACCAGAGCAAACAAGAAGGGACTCAGAGCTAATGCTGGATACAATCCCACTTCCACCTTGAAGTTATCTGCCACTCCTACACCACATCTCCCCACTGTCCTGCTGTCCTGATATATGTCCTATACCAGTCTAACATACTTTTCTGCCACTCCAGATTTCCTCATGCAATACCACACTTCTTCCCCCGGCACCCCGTCGTATGCTTTTTCTAAATTTACAAAGACACAATGGAGTTCTTTTTTACCCTCTGTGTACTTCTCCATCACCATTTTCAAAAGAAAGATGACATCTGTGTTGCTCTTTACATGAATCTAATTAACAAAAGTTAAATTTGTTTTCACTACTAAGTAAAACATGGATAGACAAAATTAGACCAAGTATTGTAAAGTTGAGTACAAAGAGAACATTGTTTTGAAGAAATAATTTTTAATTGTATTATCAATGTAAGATGTAATCTGTGGGAAACCTTAATTGAATAATTAATAACTAAATACAAATCAATAAATAAAGTTTAAAATATAAATGTCACAAATATCAAAAGTCAAGAATGCAGTTGCTGGTCAAGCTTTATGTTATGATATATGAATAGTTAACTTAGCATAAAGTATGCAGTGACTAGCAAAAATTGTCTGGAAAAAAAATACCAGGATTTCAACAATAATGTGAATGCTGACTTAAGCCCCCAGTATACTGCTGCGTACATCAATACGCAGAGGTACGCACGTACGTATGCAGAGGTACGAGCATACCCCCCCAGGGCATGTCCGTGCAAAGCTCAAATTTTTACGACCGCATACGCGAACGCGGTGTCGCACAATAAACTGCCCAGCGACGGACTGTTTTGTATGTGACACCAATGTATTAAATTCCCCTTCTTCATCCCTGATCTGGCCTTTTCTTTTGTTTTTGTTTTTTTGCCAAGAGGCAGTGATCTCTTCCTCCTCCGTTGATGCCATGACTGAAATAGTGAAAAATTAAGGAATTTGTCATGAACAAATTAAAATCAGGCCCAGCATGGCTGCGGGAGGGTCTGGAGATTTCCTGGTGGGCTGGTCTGATGTGTGGGCTGTAGAGCCAGCACTCTGTTTTTTTTTTTTTTTTTTAGATCTTTTTATTAACAACATATAAACACAGAACACCGCTGCGGCTGAGGCTGCCAGCGCTCGCTTTTTTCTTTTTTACAACCTGTCAATCAATCCAGTAGGCGTGTCTGCAAATGACCAATCTGCGACCTCAATTTGTCCCGAAGGTAAACGCCCCCTGTCTGTGGAGCTGCTCTGCAGCTGCTCGGGGTGTACGCTGGAGTATGAAGTCTGAACCCTCTGCGTACAGTACACGCATACAGTACACGCGTACGTACGCGTGAACGGACGTACACGGCAGTGTACTGGAGGCTTTAGCATTCAAACAATAAAACAACAAAATTGTAATCAAAGTGCTTCATACGTCTGCTTTGACTTTTTTACTTCTTTACCATTTTATATATAAACATTTTATAAATGAATGTGACTACTTAGTATATCATGTGTTCTGTGTGTAGCTGAACTGAACTGTGAACATGCTCAGAGGGTGGCTGAACTGGAGCTGGCTATGCAGCAGAAACGGAGAGAAAGACAAAAGGTTTATGAGGAAGCCTTTCACCAAGACATGGAACAATATCTGTCTACCGGCTGTCTGCAGCACAGAGGTGAGTTATAAGATAAAAGATATTACACACACACACACACACACACACACACACACATATATATATATCACTTCCGGTTCCGGTAAGCTGATGGACGGCAGCTCCCCTGGCTTCTCCTGCAGTCTTTTATCATCAAACTGACCCGTTTTTCGAATAGGATCAAAGTTGGCCCCCCTTCCAACTGAATTCAGTGTTCAGTGGCTCAGAGAGAGTGACGGGACCGTCCAAAAAATATTTTCGGTCCAGGACCGGCCGCTCCCACCCCACCGGTCACTCTGAGCGCACCCTGCCGGCCAGGTGACCCCTCGAGCTGGGGAGTCGTTGCACGAAGGTCTGGTGTTTTCTGTCTCCGGGAACCCAACAAACTTCTCATTTATACCTTTGTGGTTCTTCCTGGTCCCAACAAGAATCACTGGGTGGTATTTCTCTGGTTTTCTGCTGGACTGGCCCTCTTGGTATCTTCATTGGTGTGGGGAAAGTGTACCTGTGTCCCCCAAACTGGACCAGAACTGAACCGAGTTGGCTGTGGAGGACTTCGTCTTTTATAGAGACGGTCTCAGCCTCAGTGAGCAGCCCGTTATTTTTAACGAAGGACTGTCCACCTCTGTGGAATTGCTGTGTTCGCCTGGAGGAGGCGCTCTGATGCTTTGAAGCGCCGCCAGAACTGGACCGGAGCAGAACCGGGCAAGAGACGACTTCAGCCACTTCAGCCTCTTCGCCTCTCGTGCTGTGGAGCGCCGGAGCCGGACTGGAACAGAACCAGACTGGACCAGTGACGACTTCAGCCTCAGCTTCTCTGGTCAGTCTTGTCGTTTTTCACCGGGGGTGCCTCTCGTGCTGTGGGGTGCGGAGGTGACGTGCAGAGAAGCGGAGGAGCGGCGCTGCGTGGTGCTTGAGAGAAGTTCGGAGTTTGTATCGGAGTTGCTGCAGGCCTCCATCCAAACTCAAATGGATAATAATTATTTTTATTCCGGATCATGCTGTTATCCCCTGTTGGCCTGAAACGAGCTAGGACCATGCCTTTCATTTCAGGAGGATTTTCTGGCAACTCGCTCTGCTATTTGCTGCAAATTATTTGTTTCTGCCTGTTGATTCTGGACCCAGCTTCTGTTTCTCATGGGAGCATCCATCCATCTTTGCAGGGGGGCTGGAGCCCCCTTCAGCCCAACTCAAACTGCAGTTGGGCCACCTCGTCGGGTTTGATTGCCCATTTGATTTGTAACGCTTTATGATCTGAGACTTTTCTGCAACATTCATATTATTGTCATTATTTTCAGATCTGAATATCTGGAGTCACTGAATCTTATTAATACACCTGGATCTGCCCATCACTGCAACTTTCACTGTTTTTGGGTTCTGAATGATCGCGTTTTCATTAATGTTTCTCATGGTTTGATTATGGGGGCTAATTGTCACACTATCCTGATGCATGCTCAATAATCCAGGTAGAAAAATCTAAAAAAGTTAAATCTGGTCCTCTGGACATTCAAAAAAACAAAACAAAGCAAATCAACACAAAAAAATGTAGAAACGTTTCGTCTCTCATCCGAGAGACTTCCTCAGTCTGAGGAGCTGTATTCAGCTCAGTCTCTTAAATAGCACCGTCTCAGAGTGGATCAACCAGTTTTGCTGCTGACAACCAAAACCAGCTGATCACATGCTCAAGAAGGACCATCAGCCTAACAATGGATCATTAGCACACTGATGGCTGTTTACTGTTCACAGAGGGCTGAGTGATACTAGCAATCACAGCATTGTAAGAGGGGGACAGTTGAACCCGGAGGCCTCCACCCCTGTTTAACGATGGACGATTTCTTTTCACAAAGATGGCCTCCTTTACTCCTCTCTCAAACCATTGTTCCTCTCTGTCCAGGATGTGAACATCTTCATCCCTGAAAGAGTGACCGCTGGCCTGGAGATGAGTGTAGACCACAGAATCCTGGCCTGATGATGTTGATCTTCTGTGCTGGGCCATCCTTTTGGCCAGTGGCTATTTTGTTTCCCCGATGTAAGACTGATCACAGCCCTCCTGACACTGAACAACATACACAACATTGCTCTGTTTGTGCCGGGGGACTGGATCTTTGGGATGAACCAGTCTTTGCCGTAATGTCTGCGTCACTGCAGACGCTGCACCTATCTGCCTATCGATCTCACGCTCCATTTTTCCCTCATTAGTGAACAAGACCCCGAGATGCTTGAACTCCTCCACTTGGGGTAGGACCTCCTCCCTGACCCAGAGAGGGCACTCTACCCTTTTCCGGCTCAAGAATATGGCCTGAGATTTGGAGGAACTGATCTTCATTCCGTCCGTGTCGCACTCGGCTGCGAACCGCTCCAGCAAAGGCTGTAGGTCACGATCTGATGAAGCCAATAGGACCACATCATCTACAAAAAGCAGAGATACAATCCTAAGGCCACCAAAATGGATCCCCTCAACACCTTGGCTGCGCCTAGAAATTCTGTCCATAAAAGTTATGAACAGAATTGTGACAAAGGGCAACCTTGGCGGAGTCCAACTCTCACTGGGAACAAGCCCGACTTACTGCTGGCAATGCGGACCAGGCTCTGACACTGGTCATACAGGGACCTAACAGCCCGTATCAAAGGTCCCTGTACCTCATACTCCCAGAGTACCCCCCACAGGGTTCCCTGAGGGACGTAGTCGAACGCCTTCTCCAAGTCTACAAAGCACATGTAGACTGGTTGGACAAACTCTCATGCACCCTCCAGGACCCTGCTGAGAGTATGGAGCTGGTCCAGTGTTCCACGACCATGACGACAACCGCACTGCTCCTCCTGAATCCGAGATTCGACTATCCGACAGACCCTCCTCTCTAGAACCCCCAAATAGACCTTACCAGGGAGGCTAAAAAGCATGATCCCCCTGTAGTTGGAACACACTTTAAGGTCCCCCTTTTTGAATAGGGGGACCACCCCCCCGGTCTGCCAATCCAGGGGAACTTCCCCTGATGTTCACGTAATATTACAGAGTCGCGTAATTTAACACAGCCCTACAACATCCAGAGCCTTAAGGAACTCGGGGCGAATCTCATCCACCCCTGGGGCCCTGCCACCGAGGAGCTTTTCAACCACCTCGGTGACCTCAGCACCAGAGATTGGAGGGCCCGACCCAGAGTCCCCAGGCTCCGCTTACTCAGTGGAAGACGTGCCGGTGGGATTGAGGAGGTCTTCAAAGTTTTCTGCCCACCAACACACGACCTCCCGAGTTGAGGTCAGCAGCACACCACCCCCACTATAAACAGTGTTGGTGGTGTACCGCTCCCCCACCCCCACCCCCCGAGTCGCCGGATGGTGGACCAGAATCGCCTCGAAGCCTTGCAGAAGCCATTCTCCATGGCCTCTCCAAACTCCTCCTATGCCCAAGTTTTTGCCTCAGCGACAAACCGAGCCGCATGTCGCTTGGACTGCTGGTACCCATCAGTTGCTTCCAGGGTCCCACTGGCCAAAAAGGCCCAATAGGACTCCTTCTTCAGTCTGACAGCATCCCTCACTGATGGTGTCCACCACCGGGTTCGACAGGCACCAACAACCTTGTGGTCGCAACTCCGGTAAGCTGCCTCAACAATAGAAGCACGGAACATGGCCCACTCGGACTCGATGTCCCCCACCTCTCCCGGAACATGTCCGAAGTTCTCATGGAGGTGAGAGTTAAAGTTCCGTCTCACAGGAGACTCTGCCAGATGTTCAGACAGACAGAAGCTGGCAAAAAAAAAAATCTGTATGACTTTTTATAACTGTCTATTGTTGTCACTGTTGTCCATTGTTGTCATCATTTTTTGTTGAAATCAGGTCTCTCTTGTATATGAGTCCTCGAGGCTCAATGGGATTTACCGGTCTAAATAAAGGTTGAATAAAAAAATTTATTTATATATACAGATAGAAAGATAAAAATATATATATATATATATAATATATAAACGTCTATCTCAAAAAATTAGCATATTGTGATAAAGGTCATTATTTTCCATAATGTAATGATAAAAATGAAACTTTCATATATTTCAGATTCATTACACACCAACTGAAATATTTCAGGTCTTTAATTGTTTTAATACTGATGATTATGGCATACAGCTCATGAAAACCCAAAATGCCTGTCCCAAAAAATTAGCATATCATGAAAAGGTTCTCTAAACAAGCTATTAACCTAACCATCTGAATCAACGACGTAACTCTAAACACCTGCAAAAGATTCCTGAGGCTTTTAAAAACTCCCAGCCTTGTTCATTACTCAAAACCGCAATCATGGGTAAGACTGCCGACCTGACTGCTGTCCAGAAGGCCATCATTGACACCCTCAAGCAAGAGGGTAAGACACAGAAAGAAATTGCTGAACGAATAGGCTGTTCCCAGAGTGCTGTATCAAGGCACCTCAGTGGGAAGTCTGTGGGAAGGGAAAAGTGTGGCAGAAAACGCTGCACAACGAGAAGAGGTGACCGGACCATGAGGATTGTGGAGAAGGGCCGATTCCAGACCTTGGGGGACCTGCGGAAGCAGTGGACTGAGTCTGGAGTAGAAACATCCAAAGCCACCGTGCACAGGCGTGTGCAGGAAATGGGCTACAGGTGCCGCATTCCCCAGGTCAAGCCACTTTTGAACCAGAAACAGCGGCAGAAGCGCCTGACCTGGGCTACAGAGAAGCAGCACTGGACTGTTGCTCAGTGGTCCAAAGTACTTTTTTCGGATGAAAGCAAATTTTGCATGTCATTCAGAAATCAAGGTGCCAGAGTCTGGAGGAAGACTGGGGAGAAGGAAATGCCAAAATGCCAGAAGTCCAGTGTGAAGCACCCACAGTCAGTGATGGTCTGGGGTGCCATGTCAGCTGCTGGTGTTGGTCCACTGTGTTTTATCAAAGGCAGGGTCAATGCAGCTAGCTATCAGGAGATTTTGGAGCACTTCATGCTTCCATCTGCTGAAAAGCTTTATGGAGATGAAGATTTAATTTTTCAGCGCGACCTGGCACCTGCTCACAGTGCCAAAACCACTGGTAAATGGTTTACTGACCATAGTATTACTGTGCTCAATTGGCCTGCCAACTCTCCTGACCTGAACCCCATAGAGAACCTGTGGGATATTGTGAAGAGAAAGTTGAGAGACCAAGACCCAACACTCTGGATGAGCTTAAGGCCGCTATCGAAGCACCCTGGGCCTCCATAACACCTCAGCAGTGCCACAGGCTGATTGCCTCCATGCCACGCCGCATTGAAGCAGTCATTCATGCAAAAGGATTCCCGACCAAGTATTGAGTGCATAACTGAACATGATTATTTGAAGGTTGGCGTTTTTTGTATTAAAAACACTTGTCTTTCATTGGTGGGATGAAATATGCTAATTTTTTGGGACAGGCATTTTGGGTTTTCATGAGCTGTATGCCATAATCATCAGTATTAAAACAATTAAA